GTGTTCAGAAAGAGGAGGAAGGAGACAATGACATTTCTTGTCATCTAGTTTTTCAGATTCTCAGACGTAGTATTTTAGTGGTCAACTCAGTCTCATAACCATTTCCACCTGGTTTTAACATGTGTTCATATATGTTGTGTGTTCAGATTTCCCTGAACATTCACAGAACTTTCCATCTTGCTTTGTCATGCTTCACATCACTTGTGCAAAATCACTCAATGTGACACTTGAGAACTACTGAATGAAAAATAATATGCCTTGGGCAAACGTTAGGCAGTTTGTAATCAATCAGAAAAGCAAGTGAATGAGGGGATTTACATGGCAACTATTATTTTTAAAAAATATGTTTTAGTACATGGAGTCACGGTCATGCAGTGGGTAGAATGATCGCCTCACAGCAAGAAGGTCGCTGGTTCAAGCCTCGGCTGGGTCAGTTGGCATTTCTGTGTGGGGTTTGCATGTTCTCCCCTGTGGTGACCTAAGATTAATAGTGGGACCAAGTCGAAAAAAACATGAATGAATGAGTGTTTTGGTACAAGTTTAGTAGCCTTTTTGGCAGATAAACTTTTTCATAGTTCTTAGAACTGTTGGTGTAAATTCCTACTTATTAATGTATTTGTACCACAGGAACTAGGAATGATTTTAGTTAAAGAAACTTATGTTGGTGGAACTAAAATAGCTCCTACATTAGAGTAAGGTGAAAGCTAAATCAATAGGTGCTATCAATGATGTAATATATTAAGAGCTTTCGCATCAGGTAGTTATAAGAACTACTGATTGACCAAACACATGCATCAGAAAATAACGCCACGGTATGGTAAAATGTAGATGTAAATGTTTTACCTTTCACTTTTGTTTTTGGCATCATGTTTTTTTTTTTTCTCTGTTTTAAAATAAAAAGTTCTGTCATCATTTATTCACCTCTGTCTTGTTCCAAACCAGTTGAATTTTTGTTGTTGTTGTTGTTCTGTTAAACACAAACGAAGGTATATTAGGTATATTAAAGATTGTTGAAAACCTGTAACCATTAAAACATAGGCTTATTCTGAAAACGTAGCCCTATATACATTTCTGGAGATCGTGAATTATGTAGCCACAAGTACTTATGGCTACATTTCATTTTTTATATGAACGCTATGGGGCGGTATGATGCCATTCCTTTTCATGCTTATCAGCTGACCGCTTACTTCTGTATGGACGGCTTCTGGCTTTTACCAGTTTGTCCAGTTAGCTTGCCATGTATGTTAGTGGGCTTGAGACGAAGAGAGGAGATGACCATGATGACGGTGTTCAAGTCCGGTGAAAAACAGTTCCAGAAAACAGGTAAGACAAAAACAGAAGCCAAAAAATAAAATAAACAAGTAAATAACAGAGCGAGAATGTGGTAAAAATCAGATGAGGGCTTTTTTTTCTGAATTGCTTTTTAAATTTTTTGGTTGGGTTTAGGAAAGTGGGTGGACGGGTCTATCTGTGCTTTTTAAAATATTATTGTTTGGGTTTAGGGAAGAAGGAGGTTGGGTCAGTTGATCGGACAGTCAGACATTCAATCTGTCAAACAGTCAGTCGACAGCTGTGCGACAGCAGGCGCGAATGGCACTTGAGAGAGAAATTTGAGATCTCAAAAAGCATACACAGCGGCCTCTTGTAGATTCTTGAAAACAAAAACTGCTAAATAAAATTATCTCCTGGGATGTATTTGGTGCTCTCCAGAAATATATATAGAGGTGCCTTTTCAAAAGGAGCCTGGGTTGAACCATTGACATCCATAGGAAAAACAAATACTACATGTATTTATGTATGTATGTATTTACAAAAGTCAGTAGTGTGTAAGTGATGGCAGAATTGTAATTTTTTGGTGAACTATTCCTTAAATGATATGTAGCCCTGCAAAGATATATATTCCTTTTTTCTTTTGCTCTGACAAACCATATAGTTTTACAGCCAGTGTTGGCCATTTTGTCTCACTTCAGAGTTCTTGCTGCCTGTGCGAGTGCAACCAGGAAAATGGCTCTATGTGGATCACCCAAGTGCCTGGTTCATATAACTGAGTTATAACTGATTTATAACTCACTTACAACCGAGTTTTTTATAACCTGGTGCAAAAGCTTTCTAATGTTTCTAAAGTCCACATGTAGGCAGTAGGCAGACAGCATGTGACTTTGTGAGCTGCTTTTCAGTGGATTGTGCTTCAATAGTGACATTTAACTGAACTGAACTTGACATTTGTGACTCTGGATCACAAAACTAGTCTTTTATTCCATGGGTTTATTTGTGGAAATAGCCATAAATACATTGTATGAATCTAAAGTATGGGTTTTTATTTTATGCTATTAGAATATTAGAATATCATTATTAGAATATCATTAGAATATTAAGTAAAGCTCATCTTTTATTTAAGATATTTTGGAAATTTCCTTAAGCAAATCTTTAAAAATAATAATTAGTAATATGCATTGTTAACATATAATCTGGACAGTTTCAATGGTTATTTTCTCAATATTTGGACCCTTAGATTACAGACTTTTTAAAACAGTTTAAATAACTCTCGACCAATTATTGTTCTATCCTACATAATATGATATCATACAAAGCATATTTATTCCGCTTTTTCAGATTAAATATAATTCTCATTTTCCAAAAGTTTACCTGTATGACTGGTTTTGTCATCCAGGGTCACATTTGTATTAATCTGAACTGAATCAGTTTTAATTTAATTAGACCTACACCAACATTCTAACACTCTCTATGTTAAGTGCAATTTAATTAAATTCAAGTTTATTTGTATAGCACTTTTTACAATAATTAATGTGTCAAAGTAGCTTCACAAAAGGTGCACATTATTGCAATACAAATTAAGGAATATTTAAGGTTATTAGTTACCAATAACTTTAACTAATTAACTATTAACTAATAGCTTTTAACAGATTTATAAACATATTATATATAAACATAGTTCACCTGCGGTAACACTTTATAATAACTACACACTATAAATAATTTATTTAGCATTAGCAAATAGTGAACTCATTATCTGATAAGCATTAACTCTACATTAATAAGTGTTAGTAAGCAGTTTATAACTTCAATTACAAATGCTCTATTCTTGACTTATAAGCACCTATATAATGTGTTTGATGATTGTATTTTCATACTTTGTTAATGATTTATTTTTCATTACTAAATTAAGTATCGAATTATTTACAAACTGTTTGTATTTAAGAGTAGTTGAGGGGTTTTAGGATCATTCAGAATGAGTTAGTAAATGATTAATAAACTATTGAAATCAACATGTATATGTCTTTTTATTCAGGCATATATTAATGGTTACTATATATGTTAATAAATGCTTTATTAACTCAACTTCATGCAGTTTTGTGACCTAATCTAAAGTGAGGACTACTCATGCTTTATAAATCCCTTATAAATTACAAATAAAGGCTCAGTTATATTCTAAACAGGAAAATTTAAATTTTTTCTTCATTTAAAGGTACACAAATGAAACTGTACTTCAAATGAAAAATAAATCTTTGCAATCTTATCTAAAATAGAATCACTGTAGAGTTTAAACATTACATCTTATTATAATGTTAAATTATTATATTGTTGTTGTTTTATCCAGTTGGATGTCATATTTTGACACTACTGTTATTTTGCAATGTTTAAACTTTACAGTAATTTTACTTTTTAGAAAGATTGCACAGATTATCGTTAATTTGATAGTGAGGCTTTAATAGTCATTTATAAGGCATTTATAAAGCATAAACAGTGCTCACTTTAGATTAGGTCACAAAACGGCATGAAGTTGAGTTAATAAAGCATTTACTAACATATTAGTTAACTATTAGTATATGCCTGAATAATAAGACATATAAATGTTGATTTCAATAGTTTATTAATCATTTACTAACTCATTCTGAATGATCCTGAAAAACCTCAACTACTATTAAATACAAACAGTTTGTAAATAATTTGATACTTAATTTAGTAATGAAAAATAAATCATTAACAGAGAATAAAAATACAATTATTAACCACATTATATATGTGCTTATAAGTCAAGAATATAGCATTTGTAGCTGCAGTTATAAACTGCTTACTAAAGTTTATTAATGTAGAGTTAATACTTAACAGATAATAAATTCACTAATGCTTAATAAAAGATTTATAGTGTGTAGTTATTATAAAGTGTTACCGAAAGGAAGTCTGCATCGAACCAACTTCAACATTAAATGGTGTGTTGATGCTTATTTCCAAAAGGGCTGAATTATGATAGAAAGGAGAAGTCACCTGTTTGTTGTCTCTGCATTGTTTGAGGTGACTACATCTAGAGCAAATGGTTATAATTGTAGAATGTGGATGGTACTGTGTGTGGCACAGAGAACAATCTCATCAATAATGTTGAAACTGCATTAACGAGAGATAGAGAGAACAGATGTGGCAACAGCCAAGGAGCAACTTCATCTTCTAAAACATCTAAAACCATATAAAAGGTTTGAGTTTAAGAATGTTCGGGGTTTACTCTGACACCGATGAAACCAGGGTACTGCCGTGTATTTTGAGGCTGCTATGCTGAATCTTCTTGAGATTTTTTTGGTCGCCCTCATTTTTTTCTTACAGTGTATTTGATGATGTGTATTTATTTTACAATGTACAATCTACAGTACATTGTAAAAGTAAGATTTTACCACAAAAGCAATTACACTATAAAAGCAATTCAGCCAACGTGCTTTCCTCTACTTCTGGAAGACACGAGGACAAGCACAAAATCCTAGCCCATTGTATACACCCGCCAAAGTCTGTAACACCACTGTCAGTTTGAAATAGTGGCTGGTGGTGTCCTAAAGACCTAATTCATAGTGTAACCTGGTCACAACTACTGGGCTTCGACTGCTATGTGGGTCAGTTTGGACTGGGAGGCTCCCTGACTGCTTCCCAAGAGTGTTTGTTCTATTAAAAAAAAGCCATGGTGGTAACTCACTCAACTTTTACACACTTTGCAGTGATGGCTGGGCCGACCGCTATGATGTCACTGATGGCTTCCAGAGGGAGGCAGCAGGGGGAATCACTATCAAACTGCAGTCTGCTTATGTCACGTGGTTTGATGATTACTACCTGAACCTGCAGCCTGACACAAACATGCGCAACCCCTGGTTCCCGGAGTTCTGGCAGCACCGCTTCCAGTGCCGGCTGAAGGGTCATCCGCAGGAGAGTGTTAAATACAACAAGACCTGCACCAGTGAGTGGAAGAGCATCTCTGACCATGACAGAATAGGACATTTTATCTGTACGTCTGTCTTATCATTTATCTTTGTGTTCAATCATCCAGTCATCTGCCTGACGTCAATCCATCCATTCATTTTTTCAGTTGTTCATTTATCTATCCATATAAACAGTATGTCTATATTTTTAGTATTACTTGGGAATGTATTTCTTGTCTTCCTTGTCTTCTTCCCATTTATATTTGTTTAACTATTCGTTATCCATTTATCCATCCAGTCATACATTGATTCCTCTATTTAAGCCTTTTCTTAGTCATTTTTATTTATACATACAACTATACATCATCCATCCATCAATCCATCCAAACCTCCAGCCATCCATTCATAATTTAATAATTTCCCCTTTCATTCATTCATATCATCCATTAATCAGTCAATATATCCAATCAACTATATGGGAATCTTTCATTCCATCAACCATCTATATATCTGTCCTACTTCTGTCAGTCGATTCATCAATATTTTAGTGTTTTATTCTGTCATCCCATCTCTGTTTAATTATCCGTCCTTCCATATGCCAGTTTCATTCTGTCATCTCATTCATTTATCCATTCATTCAACTCTATGGCAATCTTTTGGTTCATCAATGTATCTATCTGTTCCACGTTCCATCCATCCATTTGTCAGTTGATTAAACTTATCTTAATCTCTTTAATTCCATCAATTTATCTATTTATTGAACTATTCACCATTTATCCATCAATCCACCCATCTATTAATCCATACATTAGTGTTTCTGTTCATTCGTTCATTCAACTATATGGCAATCGTTCACTTAATCAATTTATCTGTATGTTCAACTTTTCATCTATCCATTCATCAGTTGATTGAATTCATCTGAATGTCTTTAATTCCATCAAGTCACATATTCATTCAATTATTCACCATTAATCCATCAATTCATCCATCCATATATTAGTGTTTCAGTTCATTCGTTCATTTGTGTGTGTACGTTCATTCCTTCATTCAACTATATGGCAATCTTTCAGTTCATCAATTTATCCATCTGTTTAACTTTCTATCCATTCATTTATCTGTTAATTCAATTGATCTGATTGTGTTTAATGCCCTCAAGTCACCTATTCATTCAACTGTTCACCATTTATCCATCAATTCATCCCTCCATCTATCTATCCATCCATAAATTAGTATTTCATTCTTTCACTCATTCAACTATATGGCAGTTTTCGGATCATCAATTTATCGATCAGTTCAACTTTTGATCAATTCTTCCATCAGTTGAATAATTTGATCTGAATATCTTAAATGCCATCAAGTCACTTATTAATTCAACTATTCACCATTTATCCATCATTTCCTCCATCTATCCATAAATTAGTTTCATTCATTCCTTCATTCAACTACATAGCAATCTTTCAGTTTATCAATTTATCTATGTTCAACTTTTCATCGATCCATTCATCAGTTGATTCATTTAATCTTAAGTCTTTAATACCACTAAGTCATCTATTTTTTAACTGTTCACCATTTATCCATCCATCCATCCATCCATCCATCCATCCATCCATCCATGTACTAGCTTTTCGTTTCATTCAGAGTCACTTGTTTGTTTGTTCATTCAAACAGTACCTCAGTCTTTCATTATATCAGTTCATCTAATCATCCAACCAGCCACTTTATTCATCAGTCCGTCTTATAATGAATCTTTCAGTTTGAAAATGTAATAAAGGAAGATATAAAATGTCACTGTTTTAAATGGCTTGCATTGATAATGTTTGTGTGATTGATTTTACCATCTCACAGAGAAAGAGTCTCTTCGGCACCAGTACGCTCAGGACACAAAGATGGGCTTTGTGATCAATGCCATCTACTCAATGGCCTTCGGCCTCCACGCCATGCAGAAGTCCCTGTGTCCCGGCTATGCAGGTCTTTGTGAAGCCATGCGGCCAATTGATGGAGGTAAACTCTTAGAATTCCTCATGAGAACAAACTTCAGCGGCGTCTCGGGCGAAGTGGTGCTGTTTGATGAAAACGGAGACTCCCCGGGGAGGTACGAATCTTTCATATTCTGCTCCACACACAAGCCAGAATGTGCTTCTAAACTCCTTACAAAGACAATCAAAACTATCTGTTGTTTATGTCATTGTGAAGTCATTTTCAAAAACATTTTTCTTTGATGATTGTAAGGATGATTTTACTATTTGATGCTTGTGACGGTGCTTCTACGTGTTTTTCCAGGTATGAAATCATGAACTTTAAACAGATGAGTGAAGAGGACTACAGCTACATCCATGTGGGCAGCTGGGACAACAGAGGGCTGAAGATGGATGATGAGGAGATTTGGGCCAACAGCAGTGCCATCATCAGATCAGTGTGCAGCGATCCTTGCGAAAAAGCTCAGATAAAGGTGAGAAAAGGCATCTTTTGTGAATATGTGCTTTTTATTATTTGAAAGGTATGATGTTTATGTTACGCCAAATTATCTTACACAATTAATGGTAAAAGGTTTTTTCGGAGAAGTATTTATGCTCACTTGGGCTATGTTTATTTACTATAATATACTGTATAATTTTATTAGTTTAAAATGGCTGTTTTCTGTTTTCATATATTTTATACCTGTGATGTTAAAGCTATTTATGTATATATGCAGAGTTGGGTGTAATGCATTGCACAGTAATGCATTACTGTATCCTGATTACATTTCTAAGGAACTCAGTAATGTAACGAACTGCATTTTAAATTTGTGTAATTTGATTAAAGTTACTAAAGTCAGTGTAATTCTGTTACTTACGTTACAATTATAGTTTTTAGAAGAAAAAATGCTTTCCTTTAAATAACGTTTTCAGCTACAACGACAGTTAATAAGCATGCGCTTTTAAATTGCTGAGGAGCGTGAGCTGAAAAGGTTGCTGATGACAGTGGTTGCTTCAAGTGAAAACACAGACATTACTTTGATTTCATTGAGCATCAAAACAAAAATATTGCTGTGAAATGTAGTCTACGTCCAGTCTCTAGAGACCTTTAGACTGCTTTTACCTTGACCAGCAACTTGTTCAAGCACTTGAATAGAACGCATTCTACAACAATACTCGTCACCAGGGAGACAACCGGCACCCATTAACCCTGTGGTCCAACTCAGCCTAAACAGGCTAAATAGGATTTTTGTTCAGGATTGGGAGTAAAGGTATCTTCTTGGCAGCTGCCAGGCGAACCCAGTTGAAAACCGCGTGTCAAGTGACAAGAACTGACCGATTAGCTTCATACTTTGTATTGAATATAGACATTTAGGCAGACTAATTAACTCAGGCAAACACAGAACACCTAAACATTACAGTGCGTTTCACATTATATATCAAAGTCAATGGGTACAGATATCCAGTTTTTTTCCCCAAATGTTTTCTTTTGTGTTAAAAAGACAAATGGGTTTGGAACAAGTGAATGATGAGAGGATTTTAAGTTTCAGGTGAACTCTAAGTCTTTTGAATATGTCAAGCTGCTGTGATCAACCCATTGTAAAGTTTTTCAGTGAATGTTAAAGTACTGAAAGAGCTACAGTTTATTTAGTATTTTATGGGTATATTTTATGTTTTAAAAGTAACTTCAAAGTAAAGTAATTAGTAATCAGATTGCTCTTGATTTAGTAGTATTTAGTAATGTAATCAGATTACAACTTTCCAGCTATGGTCGTTAATTTATAACATATTACTTTTTAAAGTAACTTACCCAAAATTGTTTACATATATATATATATATTATTTTGGAGCAGGATGGTTGCTCAGTGGTTACCACATTTTTTGGCTTATTTCCAAAGACATGCAGTAGTGTATGAGTGTGTGTGTGAGAGTGTATGGCTGTTTCCCAGTACTGGGTTGCAGCTGGAAGGGCATCTGCTGCATAAAACATATGCCAGAGTATTTTGCTGTTTATTCTGCTGTGGCGACTCAGGAACTAAGTCAAAGGAAAGTGAATGAGTGAATACATATTTTGCCTTCAACTGGACATAAATAAATACATTTATTGTTTTTCAAATATCTCCCAAGTGATGTTTAACAAGCATGGACATTTCACAGTATCTTCATGGTATTTTATTTAATATTGTTTCTTCTGTTTTATTCTTCTTTCTTATTTCATTTAGTTTGGCTAGAAATAAAGAAGTTTTAACAAAAATTGATATCAATATTATTAGCCCCTTAAGAATGTTTCATTGACTACAGAACAAATTGTTCAGTTGTCTCCATTGTCCAATGACTTGCCTAATTAACCTAACTCGTCTATTTTAATACTAGTGTCTTGTTAAATAACTAGTAACAGATTGTGCTGTCATTATGGCAAAGACAGAAATAATAAAAAATATTTAAAAATAAGAAATAACATAAAATAAGATTGTTTAATGCTGTCAGAAATGAGAGTATCAAAAATAAACAAACACAACTTCGGAGCTAACAACAGGTCTTTCTTAAAAGATTTATTGGTTATCTCATGTTAGTAACCGCAAACCAAACATGGTTGCCACTGAACAGCAGTGTATTGCAACCACCCACAACACTTTGAGAGCGAAATCTATAACTTACATAACCTGACCTCTCTATCCTGACTCCCTCAGGTTATTCGTAAAGGAGAGGTGAGCTGCTGCTGGACCTGCACTCCATGTAAAGAAAACGAGTTTGTGTTTGACGAATACACCTGCCGAGCATGTGAGCTTGGATCCTGGCCTACAGACGACCTTACAGGTAATTCCACATCCACTTTCGGAGCAAAATATTATTTTACACACGATTCTCCAACTCATACAACAGCCACACGAGCATCTCATTCTGGACGACAGCGTGTGATATAAGTATCTGGGTCACGGAAGAACATAGGAGACCCATTTATCTCTTAGAGCGTTATTTGAGAATCTGGACCATGGCAACTTAATGCCAAAAACAGAGATTTGGACTTGGCAGGGGTCCCGTCTAAATGTTCCAGAATTGCTGTCAAGCATGAGCCCTGAAGCAGCAGACGCTCAGCGTGGAGCATTACTGAGAGCCGAGACCGCTCTGCTGTTCATGCACCATCACAAATGACCATTTTTGACATTTAGTAGCAGGTGCTTTTGAGTTGGAGTACCTGCGATTATTTTTTAATTGCTTGGTTGTTGGAGTTTATATCGGGGTTTGCAGTATTTATGCACTCTACAAAGACAATGATTTACTAACAGAGGTGATGAACATGAAACTAGAGAAGAAATCTAAATAAATCTAAAAAAAAAATTAAAAAAGCAGCTGTAGTCTCCCTGTATAATTAACCTTCATAATGCATTCAAAATCTGCACATGATTTACACTGGCCACTTTATTAGGTACACCTGTCCAACTGCTTGTTAATGCATAACACTCATCACAATCACATGGCAGAAACTCAATGTATTTAGGCATGTAGACAGGGTCAAGACGATATGCTGGATTTTAAACCGAGCATCAGAATGGGGAAGAAAGGTGATTTAATTGACTTTGAACGTGGCATGATTGTTGGTGCCAGACTGACTGGACTGAGTATTTCAGAAACTGCTGATCTACTGGGATTTTCCTGCACAACCATCTCTAGGGTTTACAGAAGGTGGTCCGAAAAAGAGAAAATATCCAGTGAGCGTCAGGTCTGTGGGCGCAAATGCCTTGTTGATGCCTGAATTCAAAGGACATTGGCCAGACTGGTTTGAGCTGATAGAAATGCAACATTAACTCAAATACTCAAATACTCACCAAAATGGTACAATAGACTGGAAAAACGTAGACTGGTCTGATGAGTCTCGATTTTTGTTGAGACAACTGGATGGTGGGGTCAGAGTTTTGGCGTCAACAACATGAAAGCATGGATCCATCCTGCCTTGTATCAACAGTTCAGGCTGGAGGAGGTGGTGTAATGGTGTGGGGGATATTTTCTTGGCACACTTACAGCCTACCCGAGTATTGTTGCTGACCATGTCCATCCCTTTGTGACCACAGTGTACCCATGAAGATTCATTATTTTATAAAATAGTAGTAACTTAATATTATTCAGTTAAACTTGTTTGCTGAACAGTAGCTTTAGATAATGTGAAAATTAAATGATGTGATTTTCAGTTTAAACTGTTAATGTTTTATTAATACACTTTTTAATTTATAAAAAAAATATTAATAATTCTTTGGAATTTAAAATTATGCACGAACCACACCAAAACACATGTCAGACATTATAGAGCATGAAAGTTTAACATTTTTTGTTTTAGAATTCTAATATATGGCAGTATATACAAATTACAAGAAAAAAAAAATTTCACAAACGTAAAATATGTGCAATATGCAACATATTTAAAAACATTGCAAAAATGTATGTTTATATATATATATATATATATATATATATATATATATATATATATATATATATATATATATATATATATATATATATATATTTAACCATTGCACTAAAATAAAATGGCCACTTTATAAGGTACACTTTACTAGTACTGGGTCGGACTCCCTTTTGCCTTTAGAACTGCCTTAATCCTTTGTGGCATAGTATCAACAAGGTACTGTAAATATTTCTCAGAGATTTTGGTCCATATTGACATGATTGCATCACGCAATTTCTGCAGATTTGTCAGCTGCACATTTATGATGCGAATCTCCCTTTTCACTGCATCCCAAAGGTGCTTTATTGGATTGAGTTCTGGTGACTGTGGAGGCCAACTGAATACAGTGAACTCATTGTCATGTTCAAGAAACCAGTCTGAGATGATTCGTGCTTTATGACATCATTTGTTATCCTGCTGAAAGTAGCCATCAGAAGATGGGTACACTGTGGTTATAAAGGGATGGACATGGTCAGCAACAATACTCACAGGTAGGCTGTGACATGATGCTCAATTGGTACTAATGGGCCCAAAGTGTGCCAAGATAATATCCCCCACACCATTACACCACCACCACCGGCCTGAATTGTTGATACAAGGCAGGTTGGATTCGTGCTTTCATAATACTGACACCAAAATCTGACCCTACCATCCAATTGTCGCAGCAGAAATCGAGCCTGTGCAAATTGTAGCCTCAGTTTCCTGATCTTAGCTAAAAGAAGTGGCAGCCGGTGCGGTCTTCTGCTGCTGTAGCCCATCCGCCTCAAGGTTGGATGTGTTATGCATTCAGAGATGCGCTTCTGCATACCTCGGTTGTAATGAGTGGTTATTTGAGTTACTGTTGCCTTATATTTTCTTATATTTACATTATACTTATATTTTCTCTTTTTTGGACCATTCTCTGTAAAGCCTATAGATGGTTGTGCGTGAAAATCCCAGTAGATTAGCAGTTTCTGAAATACTCAGACCAGTACGTCTGGCACCAACAACCATGCCACATTCAGTCACCTAAATCCCCTTTTCTTCCCCATTCTGATGCTCAGTTTAAACTGCAGCAGATCATCTTGATCATGTCCGCATGCCTAAATGCATTAAGTTGCTGCCATGTGATTGGCTGATTAGAAATTTGCATTAACAAGCAGTTGTCCAGGTGTCCCTAATAAAGTGGCTGGTAAGTGTAGGTAATATATTTTGGTGCATTTAAACAAAACACATTTATTAAACTAATGTATTTATTAAAATAATATTTTAGTCACTGGACATTTTTAGAAATAAAAAGATTCTACATTTAAATTCTTGTGAAATATTGGAAAAAAAGTTATAAATTACGACATTTGAAAATAAATGTATAATTATTTTGTTTCTCTCAAATTTTGCTCTTTTAAAAAATGTTATTTAATATTTTTCCCTAACATATCAATTTGGTTGTACTAATTTTGAGCCATTATCATGAGTTACTTCTAAGATTAGCTCTAGATTTGGCTTTAGTTATCTAATGTTTTTGGACACATTTAATAATGTTAAACTTCCTAAAGAAAATATTTGTGAGGGGTGTACTCAAATATCTTGAGCACAGAATGTTTCATGACAATCAACATTACACAGTGCCAGACGTCTGTGAGATATAGTGAAGCTAAATATATTTTTCAAAAGGTTTTTGACAATAATAACTAAAAATATTGTGGGATTACGATGTGATAATGAATTGCTCTAAAACACTAAACATTCACCCGTTTTATAATTATAGGAAATATGAAAGATGTTTTGAGGGCCTTGCAAAGTTTTATTCCCTTATAAAAATCAATGCTGTTTTTTGATCCAAATCAAGACTTAGTTTCATACCCATTCACTGTTTGTTGATGCAAATCGCACAAGCTAAATATATCAGTGCTTGTTGGTGTCAGTCTCTAATGCATAATGCATGCCGCTTGTTTGAACGAATGGTTTTGTTTGTTTTTGCCAATTCTTTTTGTTTATAAAGCTGTACGGTAATTCAGCCACGAGTTTTACCATGTCATCTGCATAATGAAGGATGTTCTCTGTGCGATTTTTAATGCCACACATCAATGATCCTGAATATTCAAAGACACTGGCACTACACCAACTTGCTCAGTTATGATAAATAATGTTTGCACTGCACATAGATCTTCATGCACTATAATTGCTAGCCCTGAAGTGAAAACATTTTATTTGAAGTTCTGGGACGGTCACATTAATGCAGGGTTCGAGAGTAAGGACTGCCTGATGGATAAACACTGGGGACAGTTGACAAAGCTTAGCTCTCATGTCTTTTTGCACTCAGATGGACAAAATAAACACACAAATGTCCACATATGTCCTGTTAGTTATGTCTTAAACAATTGTGCATCAAAATAAGTGAAGAGTTGAGCTAGAAATCTGATGTGTGCCATTATTATTGATCTGCGTTTCCAAAAACCATTGTTAGGCAACTAAGGTTGCAAGGTTCTATTATTACAAACATAGTTCGTTAATTTGGCAATTCCCAAAACCATCGTTTCAACGAACATTCGCAAACTGTGTAGCAAACATGTATGCTTGCAATTACACCTCTAGAGCTGTAGTTAGAAGCATAGCTCCTGGCTGTGTTCTATTCCCAGTTATCCACCTATGCCCTATTTCTTTTTAATGTTCCAACATTCAAACTTGTAATGGTTTAAAGAGCCCCTATTATACATTTAAAAGGGTCATATTTTGGTTTTAAGGGTCTCCTACAACATACTGATATGCATGCAAGGTCAAAAAATACCTTGATTGTCTTATAATAGCGTTATGTTGTCTTTGGGAAACACACCCCAGTTCATCAGGATCAGTGAAAGCAGCCTAATATAATTGTATTGTACATTAATCAAACAACAAAAGGGAAAAGCTCCTTTAAGCCCAGTTAAACTGTTAGTTTACTTTAGTTCCAAACCTGTTAAAACAGGATTTTTTTTCTTTTCTGTTGAACGCAAAGAAAGATATATTGAAAAGAAAAACAGCCATTAACTTTCATAGTATTTGTATTACTAGTTACTACTATTACTATCACATAGTATTGTTCCTACTACACTGTAAAACCCAAAAAGTTAAGGTAACTCAAACCATTTGAGGAAACTGATTGCAACAAACCATTCAAGTTCAAAAACTGATCTTAATGAGTACTTTGAATTTAATCCATTTGAGTAAACGAAGCAATTTAAGCACAGTAAAACCCAAAATATGAAGAGAACTCAAACCAACTAAGTACTGTGCAACCCAATAAGTTAAACACCCATTTCATTTGATAAAGTTGACTGGTGGGTTTTACAGTGTATGGATGTCAATGGCTGCTTTTTTCAACATTCTTCAAATTTTCTTTTTGTGTTTAACAAAATAAAAAAAATTATAAAGTTTTAATCACCTTGCAGCTACTGAGGCAATTATTTTTGACCATTTCATTTTTGTAATTTGGTATCTTTGTTAAAATAAAATCCATAAAGCTATAGTGCCCTGACGTTTACTAAATGTGTGTATCTTTCATTCTAACATTGCTTTTTTATTAAAATGACAAAAACAAAAGAGTTTTGAGTATTTTAACCTTGAATGCCTATAATGTTTTTTTGATGTTTGATTTTTTATGTGCCTTTGAACATGTGTGCCTCTTACTAGCAACTTTCTGCTAACAGCTTACAGCTAAAACATTACTTCAGACATGACTTTCAAACTTCTCCTGTTTACCTGAAAAAGTTAGGTATGCACCTTCACGGTCTAGTAACTTATAAACAATAACATCTTATATTACAAAAAATGATTGTACATTTAGTGTAGTGACTTCATCAAATATGAAGACAAATATGATGGAAAATCTTAATAGAAGCTTCAAATTTAAATATGACGTGACACAAATTCAATTCGGTACACTCATATATGAATGATTCATTCAAGTAGTTACAGTACTCTGGCAGTTCCCTGGCTCCTGTGAAGTGTTTTGAAATGTGCATTTTTTATTTGACATGTGATGTAATCTCAACTGAAAAATAAAGAGAGGGTGGGACATAAAGTAGCTCCTCCCCTTTTAAAATAACAGCCAATAGCATTTAGTTTTTTTTATCACAGATTTGCCCGTGAGAGTCGTTGGGATCAAACATCAAATGAAAAGCAAATAAGAAGTGTCTTGAAGGGGCGGGGCATGTCAGATATTAGAGAGCCTTTGATTGGTCAAGATTTAATGAGAAACTGAAGTATTTCCATTTAAGCAGAAGTGACAAACTTCAAGCTTTAGATGTTTATATGCTTTTATATTATCCACACGCACATTTTGTCACTGTTTTGGAGCACACTAGCTAATCGATATGCTTAAGACTAACCAACTGAAACTAGCATCTACTTCTTTTATTTTTAATTTGACTGGACTTTTAATTTATGTTTAAATTCCTTTCCCCAGGCTGTGAGCGAATCCCGGTGCAGTACCTTCAGTGGGGAGATCCTGAGCCCATTGCTGCTGTGGTCTTTGCCTGCCTTGGCCTGCTCGCCACCATCTTCGTCACTTTGGTCTTCGTCAGGTTTCACGACACACCGGTGGTGAAGTCCTCCAGCAGAGAGCTGTGCTTCATCATCCTGGCTGGCATCTGTTTGGGCTATCTGTGTACCTTCTGCCTCATTGCCAAGCCACACGTTGCCTACTGTTACTTGCAGAGGCTGGGCATCGGGCTCTCGCCGGCCATGAGCTACTCGGCACTGGTCACCAAAACCAACCGCATCGCCCGCATCCTCGCTGGCAGCAAGAAGAAGATCTGCACCAAGAAGCCTCGTTTCATGAGTGCCTGCGCCCAGCTGGTCATCGCCTTCATCCTGATCTTGATTCAGCTGGGCATCATCGTGGCACTCTTCATCATGGAGCCACCACAGGTGATCTACGACTATCCGTCCATCCGCGAGGTGCACCTCATCTGCAATACCACAACCCTCGGAGTAGTGGCGCCGCTGGGCTACAACGGACTGCTCATCATGAGCTGCACCTTCTACGCCTTCAAGACCCGCAACGTCCCCGCCAATTTTAATGAAGCCAAATACATCGCATTCACCATGTACACCACCTGCATTATCTGGCTGGCGTTCGTGCCAATTTATTTCGGTTCAAACTACAAGATAATCACCATGTGCTTCTCTGTTAGCCTCAGCGCCACCACTGCGCTGTGCTGCATGTTTGTGCCCAAAGTCTACATCATGCTGGCCAAGCCTGAGAGAAACGTACGCAGTGCTTTCACCACATCCACGGTTGTGAGGATGCACGTGGGAGATGGGAAATCTGCCTCGGCCGCTAGCCGCTCTAGCAGTTTGGCCAACCTGTTCAGACGGCGACCCTCTGGCACAGACACGGTCAGGTCAGTTTGAGAGCAGTGTTTTTTTAGTATTGTTTAGATATAATCATACTAACATTTTGAAACTTCTATTATTTGAAGTGCACATATAATTTCTATTAGGGATGTCCCGATGAGTTTTTTTTGCCCTTGAGTCCGAGTCTGAGTCCTTTGATATTGAGTATTTACCGATACCGAAACCTGATCCGATACTTCTGTAATACGTAAAAAAAGAATAAAGAAAAGCAAAGATCCAGGATGTTCCTTATTTTTTTATTTATTTCACCTTATTTTAACACTCAACAACCCCGTTAACAAACAGATCACTTCTATTTTTGCACCACAGGTTTACATATATCACAGTTTGCTATGGCAATGTTGTCGTCATCAACTTTATAATACCTCCAGACCGCAGAAATACTCGCACTTTCCACTTCAAGCTGCTTCCATGTGCCGGCATTAAACCAATAACACCTCTGCAACAAATTGATGTCATACCACACACATTGCTTTTGTTTGAAGTCAAGAAAGAGGTCTAAGTCTGTGCCACCACTTAACTCTAGATGTGTTAAAAAATAATAAAAGTAAATAAATGTATGTTTGTATATATATATTCAAATCCTGATTGGGAGGTAACGTCCGATTCCGATCGAGTCTGAAACCGTGTGATCCGGCCCATTTTCCAATTACATGATCAGATCTGGACATCCCTAACTTCTATTATTATTTTGTATGATTTTTTAATGACCAATTAAAAAGTCTTGGTCACACTTTACAATACGGTTTCATTAGTTAATGATGGTTCATATATTTATTAACATGAACTAAGTATAAACAGTACTTGAACAGCATGTTTTATGTATTATTAAAATCCATATTCATGCTTGTTAACATTAGTTAATGCACTGTGAGTTAACACGAACTAACAACGAAAAACACAAACTATAGCATAGATGAGCATATACTGTAATCATTTTTTTGTCCATTGTTTGTTTGTGTTCGTGAATACACTAACATTAACTAATACAAACTTATTGCAAAGTGTTACCATCTTTCATTAAATTTGGTTAAAGTGGATTTAAGGTGTCTTATTTTGGTACAATTGACTAAAAACTGAAAACTTTGGCTATTTACAGTTTTTCTCCGTGGCTTTGGTGCATTTCTCACAACACTATTTTCATTTGCACAACAGCTAATGTGTTTCTCAAAACAATTAGTACAAACTGCAAAACCTAACTGATAACTTGCAAAAGCACGTCACTTGATCAAAATGGATAGCTGATTCCTCAAAAGCAAGTATTGATGTCAATGAAAGTGTCAGTGTCATCAAGATGAAAAGTTCTGACACCATTGTTCATCAACAAGATAGTCAAATGGCTTTGTCATGTTTTCATTATGACAGTTTTCTAATGCATAAAAGTCAGATGTTGGTGACACTTCCTGAAACTGCTCAAGACAGCACTATATACTATTTGCACAGCCATTTGAAAACTACAGTAACATTAGACATCACTGCATTTAGTAAGGCATCTGAGTACAAGACACTGAATATGTATGTTTCACATTATTACTGCATATACTCTACAATTCTAATTTATTCACATCATTGTGCAAAAGAATAAATACACTCTTATTTACAACAAACATAATCTTCCTTTGGATAGAGCTGTGCACAACTGTAAACAATATTGCAGTACATATTGGAACTAAACCTGCAACATGCATAGGTCTGTAAATCATTCATCAAATTGTTCAATTTAGAAGACATTTAAAAAGAAAAAAAAGTTTTTTTAATAAAAATAGCTTGACAGATTTTGACAACTAGTTCAAAATTTTTGTATGTAAAGACTCAAGTATTGAAATGAGGACTATTAGTTTTATATGGAATGACTATTCAGCATTTACAAGTTTAGTTCATTTTGATTGACATGACCTAAGCAAATGATAATGTTATAAAACAGCAGAGAGTTGAAAGCAGTTGATGCATGCCCAAATACATTTGCAATTTGTTGGAAGGAATGAGAAACTGCTACTATGATGTGCACAAATGAATTGTTTTGAGAAATGCATTAACTGTTGTGTAAATCTAAATAGTTTTGTGAGAAATGCACCAGTGACTGAGAAAAACTATCACAGTTAAAAAAAAAATGTAAATCTTTAAATAGCTGATTTTAAGGTGCAAGATTTTGTCTGATAGTTATGTTTTTTTAAAAAACATGATTTTGAGAATCATGCACACATTTTACATGTTCAGTTTATAGGCATGTGCGAGTACTTGATGACCAAAACAAGAGTGGTGGACTACAGGACAGTATGTGTGCAGGCATGTAGTGTTTTTTTACAAAGTTGCATAACAACCCCTACTAGCCTGGCATGCATAAAACTACTTTTTCAATGAACAGTATTTATCAATATACAGTTGAAGTCAGAATTATTAAACCCCCCTTGATTTTTTACTTTATTATTATTATTATTATTTATTTTTATTTTTTTCATTTTTAGATATTTCCCAAATAATGTTTAGCAGAGCAAGGGGATTTTCACAGTATTTCTGATAATTTTTTTTCTTCCAGTGAAAGTCTTATTTGTTTTATTTAGGCTAGAATAAAAGCAGTTTTAATTATTTTAAACACCATTTTAAAGTCAATATTAGTAGCCCCTTTAAGCTATATATTTTTCGATTGTCTACAGAACAAACCATCGTTATACAATAACTTGCCTAATTACCCTAACCGGCCTAGATAAAATAAATCAGTTATTAAAAATGAGTTATTAAAACTATTATGTTTAGAAATGTGTTGAAAAAATCTTCTTTCCATTAAACAAAAGTTGGGGGGAAAATAAACAGGGGGCGAATAAATCTGACTTCAACTGTATATCAATGCTGATGTCTGTATGCAAAACATTTTCAAAAATGAAGTAAAAATACTTGGTCATAAGTTTTTTTCATCCAACCAACTAAAGTTGGGAATTGACAAACACTTTTTCCCCCTTTTTCCTTCATGCTTCTTTGAAATTCTTCAGTTTAATTGGATTCACACCGAATGAATTTAAGGATAACGAGGCATGATGTGTCAATTATTTCGTATGTCATTTTTGAAAATTCTTTTTTTTCCTCTTTATAATTCAGTTACCGCTCTTGATTGCAGAAGAAGCCGCTTCTGACTAATTAAATAAATAAAGCTCACATTAAATCTGTTTATCTCTCAGTAATGCCTGCCAAAGACTCGCTTTTGAGGATGAAAATGAGTTTAGACTGAAAAGGAATCAACTCCCCAACTGAGCATTTTTAGAGCACATTAAAAAAAGCCAATATTCCTTCTCGAAAGAGAAAAAGAGCCCCAACCAATTACCCCGTCTGCCTGTGAATCATTCCTGGAGTTTGGTGCATGTGGGTCGATGGGTCCCCAGGTGCATTACAACAGAAGTTAGAGATTTGCTGTCTGACGTACAGGACTGGATGAGGTTGGTAATTGTGCTGGAATGGATGGATTGGGATGGTTAATGGCACGGTCATTTCTCTTGCCTTTAAGCTCTAATGATACACTCTGGCAAGGGGACATAGAGGCCGTGTGGGGTGTGTGGGGAGAAAGTCCCTTTTCGGTTTTTAAAACAAGGTGATTCTGTGCTCTAAATGAATCCCAAAGTTGGTAAATGAACTCTAAATGTGTTGTGTTGAAAGTGCTGGAAAGGACAGCTGTTCAACTGGCTTGCACTGTAGCATTGTTTCCATGACAATCAAGTCTGTCAGTATAATGAGACACACGGCTGTCTGCCTCCTGTTATAATGTAAAAGCACTATGTTGTCATGTAGATATATCAGCTTTTTATTATTGTTATTATGATGGTTTGAGAAAGCCAGACTGTCATACAGACTTAAGGTTCTGCTCATTTAACTCAGACTACCAATCTGCCAATCACTGACCTTTCAATTAACTAGCCACACCCTAGCAACCACTTACGGTACCCTAGCAACTGTCCCATAGACTTCCTATATACAAAACTGCTATTGACTTTACATTGGACATACTAACAACATAACAATCCATACTAGCATTAAAGCAATCCATACTAAGAATATACTAATAAACATACTAACATGCTAATTCATACTATAAACATACTAGCAACATGCTAAATGATACTAAATTCATGCAAACAACATGCTAGTTTATACTAGAACCTCTTAGAACTGCCAAACAACACCTTAGCAACCACATAACAACCACTCAGAACACCATAGCAACCACTTAGCAATGACGTAGAACACTTTAACAATCGCCTGGTAACACCTTAGCAACCACCTAGCACACCTCAGCCATCACACAGAACACCCTAGCACTTGCCTAGCAACGCCTTAGCAACCACCTAGCAACAACCTAAAACACCTTAGCAACCACATAGAACTGCTTAGCAACCACCTAGCAACACCTTAGCAACCACCTAGCAACAACTGAGAACACCTTAGCAAACACCTAGCAACAACTGAGAACACCTTAGCAGCCACCTAGAACACCCTAGCAATCACCTAGCAACACCTAAGCAACCAACTAGCAACGCCTTAGCATCCGCCTAGCAACAACCTTAAACACCTTAGCAACCACCTAGAATACCTTAGCAACCGCCTAGAAACACCTTAGCAACCACCTAACAACAACTGAGAAAACCTTAGCAACCACCTAGCAACAACCAAGAACACCTTAGCAACCGCCAAGCAACACCTTAGCAACAATTCAGAACACCCTAGCAACACCTTATCAACTGCCTAGCAAGAAACATGCTAACCTATATGTAGTTATGACTGTTTTAAACTTCTTAAGAACTTCTAACTTCAAAGTTTCAGGCTGGGCTTACTCAAGCCACCATAAAGTTTGTCTACGAACTTTACTTTTAGTTATTGTTATTGGCTTTTTTTCAGGAGATTGATGATGTAGCATTTAAAATGTATTTACTGAAACTTATGTCACAAAAACGACATTTTTTTCTATTACTTGTTTAATAATATTCATTTATTTTTGTATTTTGATGTACAATGAATGCATGGAATTCACAATGCTCCCTTATTTTCCGCAGTTCCAATGGCAAAACAGTGACCTGGGCACAGAACGAGAGAAGCTACAGACCCAACCTTTGGAAACGGATCTCAATCCACATCAAGAAAAAAGAAGAAGCCAACCAGACGGCCATTATCAAACCATTCTCAAAGGGCTGCGATCGACCGCCAGACGCGGGAGTGAAACTATCATACGACGGCTCCCAGAAAAACCAACGCTACCCTGTAACCTACCGGCCTCGAACCCCATCACCACTGCCAACCATTTGCCAGCGTCCTTCGATGAAAAGATGCGACGTGGAAGATGGTGAACGTGCGCAAGTAGTAGCCATACCTTCATACCTAACCGAGCGTCTACAACACCAACCATCCTCCATCATGGATCAAATCAGCTGCGTGGTCAGTCAATTCACAGCCAACATCACTGAACTCAACAGCATGATGCTTCCCGGTTCACCACCAGGAACAGCCGTCAACACCACCGCCACCCCCGCCAACCCCCCAAGACCCTGTTCACCATCCTACCGTCACCACCAGCAGGAAAGACCACATCCTACCACCGTCACTACATACGCAGATGTTGTGGCCGCAGCAAACACCACCCCTCGCTCAGCAGTTGGCATCGCCGGTGGCATCATAGCCGGCGGGAGCAGCCGAGCTTCACCCGCCAGCCTTTTTGACAGCACCTACGACTCCTCGTGTGCAGTCAGGACCACTGATTTCGAGGACTTGGGCGTCTTGACACCACCTTCGCCATTTAGAGACTCCTCTGTTGACTCAATCAGCGAGTCTCCAACGTCGCCAGCCTCTGAGCTGCCATTGTGTGAGCCCTGCTCCCCCATATACGACCAGCTGGTGCTGCGCCACTACAGCCAGAGCTCGTCTTCGCTCTGAGAGTTTTTCTGGAGACCAAGAGGCAGCTGCTTAGATCGCAAAATCCTGCTGTAAATGTCAAGGAGTGTAAACTCTTAATATAGAAGCACTCGCAGAGGACATTTTTATGGTGCTTGGAATCTGGCCCGTCCTCGAAAATCCCAATCTGCGTAAGGCACTCCACCAAACGGCTTCTCAGATAATTAGGGATGTACTTGATACTCAAGAGCGCTCTGACTTACTTTTACGATCCTTCTTGGCAAGATGATGGTCAAGCTGGAAGATTTAATAACATTCCAACGACGTCAATCTGGACAGGTGTGTAAAATAACCAATAGCTAAACTCCTGATGTAACTACAGGTGATGTCATTTCCTCTCTCCTGTTGCCTGAACGTCGTGCACGATTCTTCGTAGAAGTGCAAACGTTTGAATGTAGGACCAAATTGAGCCTTCGAGCGCAAAGTAGTTTGTTTAAATATTGGTCATTTGTTTTTTTTCCCTAGCTTAGAGGTTGCATGTTGTGCCACTTCATTTAACTTATAAAAATGATATTTATTATTATATTTTTCATAATAAATCCTATAGAAGTGATGTAAGGGAAGGTTTATTTAGATACTAAAGAAATCAGACACTTTAATGTAGACTGTGTGTCTTTCAGATGGATGAATTTATTGATTTATATCAACATGTCCCAGTTTTACTTTATTCATTTGAAACATGGAATTGGAGTAAAAATGTTTTCTAGACTACTATTCAAAGGTTTGGGGTCAGTAAAATGTCACTTATGAGAATTATTACTTTTATTCAGTGAGGATACATTAAATTGATCATTATATTTTGTTACAGTAAACTTCTGTGTAAAAACATGTTTTAAATAAATGCTGCTGTTTTGCGCTTTCAGTTCATTAAAATCCTAATAATACAATTAAACAGCACAGTTTCAGGATTGATAATGATAATATATTCAAAAAATTCTAAATTACCATTTCTGAAGGATCGTGTAACTAAAGACTTCAAATCTCAAGTCATCAAGTCATCACAGGAATAAATGGTGATAAAATGGTAATAACTAAAATGTTAATAACATTACTCTGTTTTCATCAAATAAGTGCAGCTTTGGTGAGCATATGTACAGTGGCCGAGAGAGCTGAACGTGCTGCAATTTAAGAAAACGTGCAAATAAAAATAAAAAATAATAATAAAATGCCAGCAAATTAAGAAAAGATCTTCATACGATTGACAGCACATGTGCTGCAAATCCTCACAAAGCAAAAATTTTTTTTTTTTTTGTTTAAAAAACGTGCGGCGATTTCACACAAGGCAAACAATTTAATGAAACACACCACATATTCCCACAAAGCAAACAATATATGAAAACGCTCTGCATTTTCCCACAACACAAACAAATTAATAAAACAGGCTGCATTTTCTCACAGCGCAAACAAATTTAAAAAACATGCTGCATTTTCCCACAACACAAACAATTTACGAAAACGCGCTGCATTTTCTCACAATTCAGAAAAATTAATAAAACACGCTGCATTTTCCCACAACACTACCAATTTTACGAAAATGTGCTGCATTTCCTCACAATTCAGACAAATTAATAAAACTCGTTGCATTTTCCCACAACACGACCAATTAATGAAAATGTGCTACATTTTCCCACAACTCAAACAAATTAATAAAACTCGCTGCGTTTTCCCACAACGCAAACAATTTACAAAAACATGCTACATTTTCCCACAACGCAAACAAATTAAAAAACACGCTGGATTTTCTCACAATGCAAACAACTTACTAAAACTTGCTGCGGTTTCCCACAACGCAAACAAATTAAAAACACGCTGCATTTTCTCACAATGCAAACAAATTAAAAAACACGCTGCATTTTCTCACAATGCAAACAATTTATGAAAATGTGCTGCATTTTCTCACAACACTTGCAAAAACATCAGAAAACAGCGAAAATGTCCATGGACCCAAAAACGTGATGGACGCCACTGTGCCATGACTATTGCTCAGTGAAGTCGTAGATGATCTTTAAAAGGTGAGTTTTTTGTTTGTTTATTTTAACATCCTGATTCCCTTTTGTATTTTGTTAGCTTAAATAACCACAACCTAAATAGCCGAGTCTGTCATGTTTTAGGGTCCTCTTAAAACATTTCCATTGTGTTCTGTGCTATTTAAAAGCGTTGTGAGAAAAAGCAGTGTGTTTTTGTAAATTGTTTGCGTTGTGAGAAAATTGTTTGCGTAAATTGTTTGCGTTGTGTTTTATTAATTTGTTGCGTTTTGAGGATATGCAGCATGTGTGCTGTCAAACAGATGAAGATCTTTTCTTAAATTGCTGCCGTTTTTTGTAATTGCATGCGTTTTCTAAAATAGCAGTGTGTTAAGCTCTCTCCGTACACAAGAGCTTTAATTCAAAAACATTTCAAACACATTCCATTCCCAAACTTTTGAATAGTAATATAAGTTAACTAGTAACTTTTACATAAAGCAATATGGGCCTTTTAATTTACATGAATCCACTCAGGCTTTTGTTTCAAATACATAGAGTAGATGAGCCAAAAACAAAACAACTCCCTTTGTCATTACACTGTGGACATGATTCTTAAACACAGGGCATTAATTACAGTCTTTGTTGATAAACCCACATAAAATCTCCCATTAAAGTTAAGCCTTTTGTATGAAGTAGTTTAAGTTGAAACGCTCAGACTTAGTAGGAACGCACATTGTACCTACTGTACCAACAGACATCTATTCTTTCAATCAATGTGCAATATTCTTCTTGAATAGGTGTTATGTTATACGGTCACGTTTGCATGCGGACCAGTGCCATTAGCTGAAATAAGTGCTTAATGTTCTTTTGAGAACTTTTGTACGTTTTCTAAAAGTCTTTTGCATTTTTCGCTCTTTTGCCTTTGATGACAAGACGTTCATAGAATGTAGATTTTGGCTATGTGTGTGATGTATTTTTTTACTAACTATTTGTGCTCAATGGATATGATGGTCATAGTGGATTAAGCTTTGTGACAGTGGAACGAATGTAGCTTGCGATGTTTATGTTACTTTAAGGTTTCATTTATGTGTGGATAAGTCTTTTTTTTTATTTCTCTTCAAAGCGTGTAAAAAACATTGGTTTTACCTGAGTGTTATTAAAGGGGACTCAATTACAAATGTTTCTCTTTTTTGTTTATATAAAACACTGAGTGTGAAAACGGGGAGATAATCAAAAAAATGAGCTCTTTAGAGATGCTGAGCTCTGAGGCTGGAGTTTGCGTGGTTGTGTTATTTTCACAGTTTCCATGATGAAGTGTGGAATGCAGTTCCACCCCCTCTTATGTACTTCTCTCCCTCTATTTATGTATACAGTAAATGCAGTACAGACAGACTTGGATAGATAGATAGATAGATAGATAGATAGATAGATAGATAGATAGATAGATAGATAGATAGATAGATAGATAGATAGATAGATAGATAGATAGATAGATAGATAGATAGATAGATAGATAGATAGATAGATAGATAGATAGATAGATAGATACTGTCTTCAATAGACAGACAGACAGACAGACAGACAGACAGACAGACAGACAGACAGACAGACAGACAGACAGACAGACAGACAGACAGACAGACAGACAGACAGACAGACAGATAGATAGATAGATAGATAGATAGATAGATAGATAGATAGATAGATAGATAGATAGATAGATAGATAGATAGATACTGTCTTCAATAGACAGACAGACAGACAGACAGACAGACAGACAGACAGACAGACAGACAGACAGACAGACAGACAGACAGACAGACAGACAGACAGACAGACAGACAGACAGACAGACAGACAGATAGATAGATAGATAGATAGATAGATAGATAGATAGATAGATAGATAGATAGATAGATAGATAGATAGATAGATAGATAGATAGATAGATAGATAGAAAGACAGACAGAAAGATGGACAGGCACATCACGTTTGTTTCTTTGGTCATAAGGTGTGAATGACACGAATTCTGTTCACATGAACAAACAGAGCTTGTCTGACAGCTGGTCACAAGTCTCTCCACGCCCTGGGCGGTGCCAGTTTAAGTTCAATGACAAATGAAGAGGTAGTGTGATAAACTCTGGACACACACATCCTCAGAGATGCATAACAATCAGAAGGAGCATTTGTATAAAATTCTTGTCATCGGTGATTTGGGAGTAGGGAAGACCAGCATCATTAAGCGTTATGTGCACCAGACGTACTCCACCAACTACAGAGCCACCATAGGCGTGGATTTCGCGCTCAAAGTTCTGAACTGGGACTCGGAGACGGTCCGGCTGCAGCTTTGGGACATCGCAGGTAAGAGAAAGTAGGCTACAGACGTAAGGAGACACGTTTGTCAGCATTTTTTAAAAATGTGCTGAAATGCAAGAAAGTGCGCTGTTTTTAAGTGCCACACAACAACTTCGCTCACTTCACATAATGAATGTTTAGAGAATTAACAATACATACCGCGTACAAATGTGTCCTTAGAAAATAATTAGGCTATTATACAGCAGTAGATTAACAAAATAATACAGAGCCTAATCAAATAAATACTCTAAATCCTGTTTCACTTTCAGCACAATAAATATAACATCTAAGAAAAAATATATAAATTACACTTTAGGTTAAAATATGTATAGAGAGAGAGAGAGAGAGAGAGAGAGAGAGAGAGAGAGAGAGAGAGATTACATTACGAAGAAAACTTTTAAATGTAGGCTATATATATATATATATATATATATATATATATATATATATATATATATATATATATATATATATATATATATATATATACAATTCACTTTAATGAAAGTATAAAATGCACTGATTCTTTGGAAATTCCCCGAGTGATCCTGTTTGGTAAGAATTTATATAAATATAGTCTAAATGCCTATAGAATACAAAAAAAAACTTTATTAATCCTTAGAGTTTGATTGTTTAACAGTTTTAAAACAGATCACGTTCAATATCAAATCGGTCCATCCTTATTAAGCAACAAAACACGATGCCAGACTATACGTTTTTTTTCCGTCTTTTCTTCATCTCTCTCACGTGTCAAGCACGCGCACCTTGAAGATCTTGTTTTCCGCGTGCCCGCACAAGATCTCATGTGAGACTGAAAGCACGCGGATGACATTGCGGGAAAATCTTTGTAAACAAACCTTGTTCGTCGCACTTTCTGCTCTTAGTTCTCATTGTCATGTTAAAATAGCACAACGGACCAAAAACAACATTCTTCAGGACAAGCTAATAGCATGGGAAGTCAATGTAGTAATGGCATGAATATGACAGTGTAACAGCTCTCGTAATAGCAAAATGTCTATGAGCATTTGCCTTGCTAACCAGTTTTCATCAAAATACTAGGGTACTTCTACTACAGTGGAATAATAATACACTTCAATGTAAATAGAAAAAAACTTTTTTAAAAGTGCCTTAAGTATAAATAGGCTACAATTAAAGCCATTAGCCTACGCTTTTTTTTGTCACTGTCTTCTAGGTAAGTACTACAAACTGGGGAAATTATATGGTAAATATTTGTAAATTATATAGCATTACAACTCATATCAACACCTCTTTTGTGAGAAAACAAACTGCTAATTTAAAATATGAAGGTAGCTAATATAATATAATGAATTAAACCTCTAATAATCTAAACTGGACTAAAGAACCCTAAAGGTTTGTTCTTCATTATTATCACACTCTCCTCATTAAAACTGCATTTAATTTTGTGCACAGTCATAAACTCCTCGTGGGCATCATAAACTCATCATTTCTGACAAGGAAGTCATCTGACCTACAGTATCATGAAGTGAAACATGCTGAGTTCATTTTCATTGCTAGTGACTAAGTTTTCTCAGAAAGCTCACTCATTCAGTTGTCAAGTTAGATGACTGTAAGAATTCGGTAAAGGACATTCTCTACTGCTTCACCAATGTTCAGTCAACAAAGAAGCAAATGCATTAAATTAGCATTTTAATAGTGCACATAAACAAGAGATTTATTCAGACTTGATTGATGGTTTACATTTCATTGCTGTTGTTTGTCAAGATCCATATGCATAAGCGAAACCAATACAGCATGTTTTGTGGTCCATCATGTGTAAAGCAGACTGCTGTCAGACCCGTGGAGATCAACACGCACCTCCTGATTCTAATTTTGAACAAATAACAGAAGAAACTGAGAGAAACAGCTGTCCTAGGGAATGTTGTGTAATGCTGGCAGCGCAGAAAAGTGGATGCATTCAGAGTTAGACAAGTGAAATGCATGGATGGAATGTGTCATTAGAAGGAAAAATCAGTAGTAACGAGTGTATTCCAATTGAATAAGAAGTTTGCTGTGGAAACCGCTCAAAACTATGCATATGAATGGGCATTCAGTTGTAAAGAGTCATGTGTTTTTTGTTTAGCAGATTCATTTTACTAAATGTAATCATGCCAGATTTGTCTTGGCAAGGACTTTTTAGAATTTGGAGTGTGAACTGCAACTTAAAATCTTACTATGTCTATCATACTGTAAGTATAGTATATACACTACCAGTCAAAAGCTTGGGGTCAGTAGGATTTTTAAATGATTTAAAATAAGCTTCTCCTGCTCACCAAGGCTGCGTTTTTTTTGTCATCAAAAATACATTTCAATCTGTAAAATTGTGAAATGTCTTCACTATAAAATAACAGTTCAAAAGTAGATCATAATGTAATTAAATAATTTATTTTCGTTATTTTAAAGATGATTTATCAGCTTAATTACACCAGTCTTCAGAGTCACATGACCCTTCAGAAATCACTTAATAATAATATTATCACTTAATAATAATAATATTAATATTCTTAATGGTAATAGTAATAAAAGCTGTAATAACTGGAGTAATAATTTCATTTGAAACTATATATAAGACAGTTATTTAACATTTTAAAAAATATTACATTATATTTTATTACATAAATATATAAATATATAAATATTACATTATATATATAAAATATACAATATTTTTACATTTCAAGAGTTCACATTTAGCTGATGATTGATTATAAATCTTGTTTGGCATGCTGTCCTGGGAGAGAGCCCTGAGCTCATAAGATCCTCGAGCCCAGGGCTCCCTATCTTTTGCATGGCGAGAGGGGAGTTTGAGCTTAGATAGATCTCGAGAACTCCCCTGCTGTAGTAACTAATGAACAGATAGTGATTGCTCTTAAGAGATAACTATTTACTAGGAGCATGTCTATGGTGCCGATTGGATTAGTCAATTAACTTAAGTTGCATGTTTTTTGATGTTGGGTGGAAAACGTGGAACCTGGGGGAAACCTACGTGAGCATGGGGAGAACATGTAAACTCCACACAGAAATGTTGGCTGGCTTGATAAGGACTAGAACCAGTGACATTCTTGGCGTGAGGCAACAGTGCTAACCACTGGGCCACCGTGCCACCCATCTAGGAAATAAGGAGGAGTAGGGGTAGAAGTGGAGATTCTTCAAAACGAAGATGGCTGTCATATGGAACTTAGGGTATTTATAGTGGCTTAAGAATTGTCTGATTGGTGAATCATAAATTAAATAATGCTGGACCGGCTGCAAGCAATCAGAAGCATGTGACCCTCTCGAGATTAGTTTATAAATAAACTTCACTTAATCAATGCCACCTTGATGAACAGAATATTTTTCTTAAAAAAAAACAATGAAAAAAAACCTGACCCCAAACTTCTGACCGGTATTGTATATATACTGTATATACACTATGCTTTCTCTCTTAGAATCAAAATTAGGTGGGCAAAAAGTAAATACTGTTTTGGCATTAAAAATTAGTTTAAAATCCATAATTATTAATGCAGGAAATATGAAATCCAGTTTACTATCATCTATTTAGAGACTTAGATTTAGAGATTTAGAGTTTTCATCATACCTCAATTTCTATAGAAACGAAATATTGTCTAAACTGCCATATACTGCCAAAGATACAATTCAAAATATACTGTAAACTACTGTAATCCTTTAGTTAATACAGTGGTAATACATTTTAAAGTATTAACATCTAAATTGTTAAGAGAAAAGTGAAGGGTCATGCAGGAAATTCTGGGAAAGTCAGTTTAAGGTTTTTCACTGTATGTAGTAAGAAAATAAAATATATTTATCATTAAAATCACAGCCATTACAGTTATTTTTCACCCACCCTGCATAAATAATTTCTGCTGGATCATTTGAGACTGAAATCTGGAGCGATGATGTTGAAAATTCAGCTTTGTCATCAATAAATGACATGAAAACATTAAGTTAAATAAAATTGAAGAGATGCAAAAACCTTTCAGTGACGTCTGAATTTTTCAATTTAAATATTTTTTTCTCAGGCTGTTGTGTGTAGTTTCAGTAAATTTACTCAGTGCAAAGAACAGGTTATTTTCACTGTCTTTAAAGTGAAATAACTGAACATAAACATAGGAGGCTTAAAAAAATTCACTTGTCACTTAGAGGATTTTGCATTTGAACTCTTTAATTGTAAAAATATTTTATATTACAGTGAACGTAAATGACTCCTTTTGAAAATTATTTTATGAAATCTTACTTAAAATCTCTGTAAAAAAAAAAAAAAACTACAGTAGTGTATCTGTGTGTTGTATCTGGCTTGTTGTATCATGCTTTTCCCAATTATTTTGTGCCCTTTTTTTCTCCCTCTCCATCGGCACCGGAAGGTCAGGAGCGGTTCGGCAACATGACGCGGGTTTATTACAGAGAGGCCATGGGGGCATTCATTGTGTTTGATGTTACCAGACCCGCCACGTTTGAGGCAGTCTCCAAATGGAAGGAGGATCTGGACTCTAAATTAATACTTTCAAATGGCCAGAGTATTGCCACAGTGCTCCTGGCCAACAAGTGCGACCAAAACAGAGACTTCCTGACTAACAATGGCCTGAAAATGGACCAGTACTGCAGGGAGAATGGATTTGTGGGGTGGTTTGAGACATCTGCTAAGGTAAGGTGCAGCAATTTAATATGATATTACCAAAATGACTCATAATGTTTGTGTGTATTTTAAAGTGTAGTATAAAGCAGGGACAATAACTATTGAACACGTCACTATTTTTCTCAGACAACATTCCTAAAGGTGCCGTTGCCTTGAAATTTTCACCAGATGCTAATAACAACCAAAGAAATCAATATATGCAAAGGAAATAAATCTAATTAGTTTACAAATGAAGTTATGTGTAATAAACTGAAATGAAATAGGGGAAAGTACTGAACACATGAAGAAAGGGAGGTGTAGAAAAGCAGTGAAAGCCCAGACAGCAGCTGAAATCTCTCACTAGTTATTGAGCAACCCTCTGCCCTTCATCATTATAAATTAATATTAGCTGCTTTAGTCCAACATCTCCATTAACAAAATGATGAGGAGGAAACCAGGGTGGACATTTCAGCAAGACAATAATCCAAAACACAGCCAAGAAAACTCAAATGCTTTCAGAGAAAGGAAATTAAGCTGTAGAAAGACCCAGCCAATCACCTGACTTGAATCCAATAGAGAATACAAAATAAAGGTCAGATTTGATAGATGAGACCCACAGAACCATCAAATATTTATAAACTTAAAGTCTGTGGAAAAAATCTCACCTGAGCAATTCATGTGACTTCAGTTTTTTCCACGCCGTAGGTACTAACTAAAACTAAGAAAAACATGTACCACATGTAAACATATTGTTATTTTTTGTTGTGGATGTGAATTATGGCATTTTTGTAGTTCAATGTACATACCAGGTTCATTCACAAAACAAACTATGTCTAAAATGGTGACATTTGATAACATAAGTGTGCGTATGTGTTCAGTCTCTGAATGAATACAAAGGTGACAAAGTGACATCGCCAACTATTGGCTTGGCATGCACATTTACAGCATTTTTGTGAACCTATTTAAACAATAATAGTTTAAATAACAATGGGCCTCATTTTCTAACCATTCATATGAACAAATCTGTTCTTAACGGTGCTACAAGTTTTTGCGTAAAAATACCATATTATAGTCAGCAATTCTTCTTGAAAATGTGTATTATATGTCGGAATGTCTGTCTTTGTTTTGGTGTCTATAACCCACCCACTGCCGGACTACCCAATTTCAGCTCTCTGGGTTGCCTTGGTGGAAACACAAACATATTTCAGTCTTGCTTGAAGGTTGCTTTAATGTTTGCGCCCACGGCTGAAACGCAAACTCTGAAGGACAGAAGCAGCCTCTGAAATGAGATGCAGATTCATAGTTGTAAAAATCCACATATAGGTGGTATTTAATTAGCGAATAATATAAATATTACAATTGTAAACATTAGCTGATCAGGTTTCAATCTAACACCATGAACTAACAACGCGCACCCAATTTGTCTGTATGCACTAGACGTACATTTAAATACCAGAGCCACAGTTTCCATAGTTGAGTCAAAGTTCTAAGGTTCAGTGTCAAACTGTGTGTGAGGTCAACTATCTGCTGCTGCATTCAGCATGGCAGTAAATGTCATGTAAAATGCTATTCAAACTCACATTGGTGGCATTTATCGTTGAATAAAGCACATAATCAGTACATGAGGTTATCGTTGTCAAAGTAATTTATGCTGCTGTTCAGCTGCGAGAAATAGAAACCATTTTAAAAATAAAAATTTCAGGTGATTGCTAGGGCAAAAACTCCTTTAATAAGAAAAATATTTATTTTATTATGTATCAAAGCATGTGTATAGGCCACTGCATATGCTCTATAGTCAGGCGCGCTTGCTCATGCTAGTGTCCTCAATCTGGCAACCTGCATTTGCAGGCGTCGGAGGAGGTTTCAGGAGAAAAAGTGTTGTGCAGAATGGAGTGCAATACCCTAAATAAACAGCCCTAAAATGCCATGCCCCTTTATAGGAAATTTCAAAGCGACATTGGCAGGTGCTTTTAATTAAGAAGACATGAGATTCACCATTCTGAAAGGGCCATGAAACCCCCTTGTTTCAGCTGAGTTTTTTCACACCTCTACTTTGAAAAGTCAAGAAAGTGGGCGTGTCCAGCTCTGTTTAGGGGCAGCGTCAGAGGAGGGAAAGAGGGAAGGTCTGTAAAAATTTGCTTAAGAATAGGAGTATCGGTTTGGGCATGCGCTGATTTTCACAGAGGCAAAACAAAATACACACAGACGCAGAGGAGAAAGACAGTGACTGTGTTTACATGGACAACAGTAATCAAATTATTTGCCAAATTATTAAAAGGTGGACTTTAACTGCAGTTTGGCTCTTTCATTCAGGAATTTCATTCATGCCCCTCGTGACAAATTAGATATTGAATTCGAGGAATTGCTGGAAGCAAGTATTTTTCATGCAGTGTTTGTTACCGCACTGGGAATGAGAGAAAAAAAAATTCTGCATTTCGAAAATCGTACATGATGGCAAGCTTGATTACGGTGCTTACATGTTTACACTCGGGAGATCAGCATTTACAGCAGATTTTTCAGTCCATAATATTGTTGTAATATTAACGTACAGTAAACTTTATTAACTTAGAAGTCATTTGACTAAGGCCTGTCTTTAAACACTGAAAGAGTACTGCTAACGATACGAACTAACGTTGCCTCTGAATAAACAAACAAAGACCACTGGTCACTCACTTACCAAATCTGTAGAGACTATACAATCAACACCAACAGGAGCCGTGTCTTTATTAAAAAGAGACGAGCGGCAAATCCGGATTTCACCATTTCAAGATGAGAAAAGCTCTCAGGTAAACAATGTTCCTTAGACACATATTTCTATGGCGCGTTGCGTGCACTGATCCACACATGAGTCCAGCTGTGCTCTCATAGAGAGAAAATGAAAACAAAACCTTCACTGCAGCAAATTATAAACGCAACACTGACGAGCCGTATCTCCAAACATTTCTTGGTCTCCCGCTAGGCAACACAATGTAGCGTCTCTCTGCCATCTGAACACTGTGTAGATACAAACAGTCTTGGAAGCTATCATGCATATTAATGAAGTTGCACCGCATACATAATAGAGCACGCTGATTCGTTTGTACCAAGTCTTACTCATGAATGGATGCAACACACTCAGAGACGTAATAAGGTACTCCCAGAAACAGACGTCCAGTCTACACGCTGGAATACACGCTAAGATCTCATGGCTGTGACGCAACTTAAAAAATTCGTTTCAAACTGGAAGTACGAATTTGCTCCAAATAACGCTAAAACAACCAATTTTCACTTTTTCGTGAAATATATGTGTCCTAATAGTGTTTTTAGCAATGTGGGACACATACGACTGTTAACAGCTCAAAAAATGTGTTTTGGTGTTTCGTGACCCTTTAAGAACACATGTGTGAACAATTATGTTGCTTAAGAAAATGCATTAATTGTTCTTAGCAAGTTCCTTAATAAACTAACAAAAATTCCTGAGAAGATATTGATATTGGTGAATTAGGCCCAAAGGTATCTGTACACAAGAAGGCAAAGAAAAACCTTTCCCTTAAATATCTCATACCATAGTATTGTCATGTGTTATATGTTATTATCTAATACAATGGTATTATCATGCTGCAATAGTACTTCTACAAGTTTGTGTGAATGGTGCTTTATGCAAAATTATTTTTTGTATTCATTCAGTCATTTTCCTTCAGCTTAGGGTGTTTTCACACCTTCCTTATTTACTTCAGTTGAATTGCACTAGAGTTCGTTTTTCCTCTTGGTGCAATTCGTTTGGGCAGGTGTGAATGTAGCAATGGCACTTGAGTGCATACCAAAAGCAGACCAAAAAAGCACACTGAGACCCCCTTGAAGAGGTAGTCTCGGTACGCTTTTGAACAAACCCTGGAGCGGTTCATTTGTGGTGAGACCATGATCCGAACTAAAACAGACCTAACCGCAAAAAAGTACTGCGCCCTTTTGGACTAATCTAGCTGCCGTAGTCTGATGCGCTGTGCATTATGGGATGTGGAGTAAAAGTATTTGTTGACAGCACTTTACCAACAATCTTAAACAGATAGAGAGGGACAAACATTACCTAATGGATCGTTCATAATATTTCCAGAGAAGTTGACCATGTTGTAGTTTAGCTAAATTAATTCATGCCTCGGCGAAGCAGTGGCGCAGTAGGTAGTGCTGTCGCTTCACAGCAAGAGGGTTGCTGGGTCGCTGGTTCGATCCTCGGCTCAGTTGGTGTTTCTGTGTGGAGTTTGCATGTTCTCCCTGCATTCGCGTGGGTTTCCTCCAGGTGCTCCGGTTTCCCCCACAGTCCAAAGACATGTGGTACAGGTGAATTGGGTAGGCTAAATTGTCCATAGTGTATGAGTGTGTGTGTAAATGTGTGTGTGGATGTTTCCCAGAGATGGGTTGCGGCTGGAAGGGTATCCGCTACGTAAAAACTTGCTGGATAAGTTGGTGCTTCATTCCGCTGTGACGACCCCTGGATTAATAAAGGGACTAAGCCGACAAGAAAATGAATGAATGAATGAATAATTCATGCCTCCTCCTAAAGTGACTTGCGATGTGCCTATCGCCGTTTGCAATGCATTAAAACATAGTTGTCCAGCCACAGTAAAAAGTGACATCTTTGTCTGCCGGTTTGTTGACTTACGGAAGTTCCATTGGTAATTACCGACATGTTAATTCTGACCAACCAAAAAGCAGTTTATGAAATATGTCCAATAACATCTGGCCAATGAATGATGTGGATTTTGTCACATGACTGCATTTTAATTTTTTTCAACTGGTTCAAATTAAAGCAATCAGTGTGGTGTGAAAAGGACCCATTAACGGCAGAAAAATGCTACAATGTATCAACAGATGCCCTTGATCTGGACCAAATGATCCAAACCACAGATGTAAAAGCACCCACCGGGATGCTTTTTGTTTGCATTTATCGTCAGTGTTTTTCAAGAAATTTTACTGGATTCAAACCCAATCGATTTTCACTGGCGTCCAGCAGAAGAGTATGCAAAATAAATCCTTGACGTTAAATGGTGCTACACAACTTTAAGCTTCTGACAACTGCTTGTAACACAGAAGAAGAAGACTAAGTTGACACGCTTGTTGTTTTGGATGTATCAAGTAGCAGCTCCAGCTCTAGCGATGAAGAAATGAGCAGCTCCACATTCATATCGCCTCTGGGCATGTTCTTCATGTGCACCTGCGTTGACAGTTTTGCACTTGAGTGCCTCCAAGTGCTGTTTACTGAAACTTCAGCAGCTTCGTGCATGTGAACAAAAGTAGCAACCTGATTGGTGAAGGTTTTGACGTGGTGCGTCAAAATGAGCATGAGGCATTTTTATTTTATTTTACATCTAGCGTTTTGCGTGTTGGTGTGCACGATCACATTGCGCCTCTTTATTTAGTCACGAGGCGTTAAACGTTGCCGGAAAACGCGAGCAAAAAGCGACCCGGTGTGCACCGGCCTTTAGGTCCTTAGTTATAAGGGGTTGCCACAGCGGAATGAACCACCAACTATTCCCACATATGTTTTACATAGTGCATTCCTTTCCAGTCGCAACCTAGTTTTGGGAAGCACCCATACACTCTAACATTCACACTCATACACTAAAGCCAATTTAGTTAATTTAATTCACCTTTAGCACATGTCTTTGCACTGTGGGGGAAACCAGAGCACCAGGAGGAAACCAACACGAACATGGGAAGAACATCCAAACTCCACAAAGAAATGCCAACTGATCCAGCCAGGGCTGGAACCAGTGATCCTCTTGCTGTAAGCTGACAGTGTTAACCACTGGGCCCTCTACTTGCAGTCTAACAAATATGTTTTGACGGAACTTGCATTATAAGGACCTTTAATGCTTGATTAAAGCTTCTGATTGAAGCTTATTAATATTTGCATGCTAATTACACCTGCCACTCATATGCAGAGCAGTTGCCGAGGGAAACAAGAGAATGGACTGTTTGTACACTGTGGTCGTCTCAGTAAATCCATTAGGGATTTATTTATTTCAGCACCTCCATTCTTAACAAAGAGTCCAATGAGTCTTAAATGAATTCACCTCCATCTATAAGCGTTTTCTGGGGTTTGAATAATCTATTACTGTTCCTATGTCAAATTCAACAGGAGCTGAGATGAATAACAATCACTCTTCTGAACGATCAAGCCAAACATTTAGAAACACACACACAAACACACAATATAATACATGTTTTTTTCTCTTCAAATTTTAGGAAAACGTCAACATTAATGATGCAGCCAACTTCCTTGTGAAGCACATAATTGCCAGTGAGAACGATATCCTGAAATCAGTGGTTCCAGATACCATCTCTCCTCAGCTCAACTCGGATAAAGAAATGACTTGTTCCGCTTGCTTCAAACCTTGAGAAGACAGCAGCGCTGGTGGACTGATGAAGATATAGACCTTCACACCAGAATCGGTCTGATTTGAGCACTAAGTTGGTCAACCATCGACCAACCGTCAAAACTACAGACACTTTGAGCTTGCACAGAGTAAATGTATTTATGTTAAAAGCTGCACTTTTTTGATATTTATGCCTAACAAAAAGCTTGGCTGCACAAGGTAATAGATGACTATTTATTTCTGCCAGACACACAGACAGATGGCTGATTAAACAAGAGTGTTTCATCAGCATGCACGCTGTAATATAGTGGTTTCTGGTGGGTAAGAATTAATAACCTCTGAGTCGAATGACATAATCATATTTTTTTTTATTTCAAGTGTAAAACTGTTTCTGAAAAGTCACCGATAAGGACCCAATGATGTTGCACTAAGACTTTAGTTATGCATTAGTTATGTCTCCATCATAAACTAAGACTTTCTACTTCCTATTTGTAGACATGATTGTGGGAGGAATAATTCATTCTATAGGGCATTTGATTGGATGAAACGATCGCTTAGCACAGGAAAAGTCAGCAATATTTTTTGTATACAGCTATTAATTTGAAAAGCCTAAAGTTTAATTTGTTAAAGAAGCCATTTGTAAAATTCTAATCAATCTGTTATTAGCAACACCTGTGGCCTAAAGGCGCAATATGTGAAATTAATATGTATGAAACCACTAGATCAGTGTTTTTATATTTGGCTTATGTACTCACACTCAAAAAAAGTTTGAAGTTTGTTCGAACTACTTATTTAAAATTAGCTGAAACTACACAATTGTTGAGTTTTTTGCCACGACAATTTAATTGTTTTATGTACAATTTAATTAAATGTGCTTAATTCCTTCATGTTGTCCCAACACAAATCGATTGTGTGGAACCCAACATTTCTTAAAGTGTACGTTATCCCATATATTTTTAAAAGAATGTTCAAATCCAGATAAAAAAAAACTGTTTGTCTTTGCGGCATCAGACTATGCCTTTGTTGTGAATACGCACCCTTTAGCACCAAAAAATGTAATTCGGTGCTTTCATCAAATAAACTTTCATTCTTAACTTTGAAGTAAAACAAAATGTTAGAAACACTTTTGCATAAAATTATTAATAACATCCTGAAGCCACCTGCACTGCCGAGAGTTGTTTGGATGAATAAATAAATATGTCCTGCACTCATTGCACAATTAAGACACAACAAAAATGACAGTGGTGAGAAAACAAAGGTTAAGAAAGCATCTGATTTTAGCGGTTCTGAAATTCACGTTGACATGAAATAAGTAACATTATACAGCTATGATAGTTTGATTATACTAGTAGTAACACTTTACAATAAGGTTGAATTAGTTTGTAATTAATGCATTTAATAACATCAAAAATACATTTACTACAGTATTTTTTTAGCATTGCTAACGTTGGTTTAAGGAAATTAAGTTGTTCATTGTTACTTCATGAAAACTATGTAAATGTAAATGTTGAACTATTAATAAATGCTGTGCTAGTATTGTTTGTTATTAGTTCATGCTAGTAAATACTGTAACAATCCTTAACTAATTAATTTTTTGTAAAGTGTGATCATAACAGTAGTACAGCTTGATTATATGTAAACATTGTTTTTGTTTATATGCTGTAAAAATGCTGGGTTCCACATAATTCCTTTAAGGTGTCACAACACAAATCAATTAAGTTACATTAAGTTTACAAATTTAACTGGAGCGAATGTAAAAAATTAAGTTGTCCAGCCAAAAAAAAAACTCAAGAATTGAGTTGATTTAGCTCATTTTAAATACACAGTTTGAATAAGCAGCAAAAGTCATTTTATGAGTGTATAACAGAAGAGATGCTTATTGGATTTAACATAAAAAGAATAATAATTGTAATTTATTCAGCAAAAATGCTTAGTTTCCCCTTAGGAATCAAGAAATATCTTTCTCACTCACTTTTTCCTCTCTGATTTGTTACAAGCTGTTCACACATTGACAATAAAATGCCATACATCAATGGCAATTTGCATTTATATCCTTCTCAAAGTCATCATAGTAAAAATATTATATTTCCTAAATGCATATTATTAATTTTATTATTAAGTTTATATATTTATGTAATGTGATTTTATGTTCAGGACTTCCCTAGCATAATAAGAGTGTCTGCTGGGTCTTAAAAATCTTAAATGCCATAAATCTAAAAAAAACTAATTGTAGGCCTTAAAAAAATTTAAATTCACTGATATATTGTGTTGAGTCTTAAATCATTTTAAACAGGTCCTACTTTTCCCAATCGGGCCAACATTCATAAAATCACCAACAATTTTTTTTATTTAAGTTTATATTTCAGTTTAGTTTTTTTATTGCAAAAAGATATGATTTACAAGCTGTTAGGCATTTTTACAGCAATTTCTCTAAAATAAACCTCCAAAATCTCCAAAATCCCAGGGAAAGGAAACAAAACAATTACACAGTTCCTTGTGATAATAAAGGGATAATAAAATATCGCTTTACGTCATCTTACATTCATACAAAAACTCTTTACAGAAGTAAGGGGGAGTACACATAATATATAAATAGGCATGAAACTTAAAGTATTTATATCAGAAATGCATTAGGTTGAATAGACGTTACTCAATCAATTGGACCAGAGACCAACAAATATATATTATTGATTACTTATGTAATTGTCTCCACAATAAATGTTAAAATTGTTAAAAGTTAAGGTAACTCTAACCATTTGAGGAAACGAATTGCAACAAATCATTTAAGTTCAAAAGCTAATCCTAATGAGTATTGTGGACTTAACCTGTTTGAATAAACGAAGCAATTTGAGCACAGTAAAGCCCAGTAAACTTAAAACCAACTCAAACCAACTGAGTAATTTAAAACCCAGTACGTTAAGGCAACTCGAACTGTTTGAGTAAACTGATTGCCACGAACCATTTGAGTTAAAAAAAACTAATCTATGAGTAATGTGAACTTTCTCCTTTTAAGTTGAATTAATGAGGTATTTAATTAACTCATTACCTTCAACACTGAGTTCAAAACTCTTTTCAAAGGAGTAGAATTAACTTTCAGTCAATTTTGAGTTTTATTTGATAAAGTTGACTGTTGGATACAACTAGAGTTTTCTTGTTTTGACACATTAAAAGTATGTGTTTAAGAAATAATTACATTAGATTTTGCCAAAAAATAATAATACATTTCCATTGGCCATTAGAAATGATCACTAGTGTTTAGCCCTGTAAAATTTCAATCATAATGATCTCAAAAAGTCTTAAATTTGACTTGATGAAACCTGCAGAAACCCTGAATAATGACCTCGAAGCTACAAATCAAAGAGTTTAAGCTTCTGATATTGATTCATTTGAGGTATCTGGACCTTTATGAATTACGGCTTTTACCTCAATGCAGTGTTAATGGCCTGGCACGCTATTACGATTTCATGAGCCTTTTATGGTTTTAATTTATAGCGTCTGAACTTGCATTCCGCAGTAACGCGTCTCGAGTGTTCATATTCAAGCTATTTTTCAGACTGTATATCTAAAAGGAGAGCTGCCAACCTCTTCCCTCATCCTCTCTTGTCTCCTTGAACACCCTGGCCTTTCTTATCTGCTGCCATCCCTCCATTTCATCCCTTTTTTCGCTCCTATTTCACATCTCCTTTGCAGTGATTCAGTGCATGACTCACTGACATTATATAAATCTCCCATGATTCCCTACATCACCGTGCGCTTTATTCAAATGCTTTAATGTGTATATTGATCTACTGCCTTTTCTTGCACACCTAGTTTTTATGCTCAAATATTATTTGTCCGTGTGGGAGGTGTTGTATTATTAGGGATTGTTTGGTATTGTTAAATATGTTTTGTTTGAAGTTGTGTTAAGATTGTTGTCTAGAAAACACTGAAATATTGTACGATTTTTATGCTACTGTACATCAAATACAGTATACTCTTGAAGAACGTGTCTGAAGTATAAAGTCGAAATGAAGTCTTGCTTTGTTGACCGACTTTTCATCCCTACGGCATTAGCATAAGAGTTATCATCACCAATTATATTTAAGTGTGTGTATAACAACATAAAACGTGATCTCTCAGCTGGAATAATGGGATGTGGGAAGGCTAGACAAATTACAGCCTTGTACTTCTTTTCACACCTATACTCAACTCTAGTGTTATCACCATAACAACTGCATGCTACTTTTTCTCTGCAGGCTCTTACATTTGTGTTTTGATTTTTTTATAGAGCAGGAGGAGGCACTTCTTACCAGCTTCTTGGAAATCTGCTCTGCCAAAACACTCATAAAAGCCCAAGATTAAGAGAATTCACTTTTAATCGATTCAGATAATTCAGATTTGTTTGATAATGTGCCTGGCGCTCATTTGTGAGGATTCTAGTGAGCATTTTGTTGATTTACAGCATTAATGCCGCACACAAGATGTTTATGGATGAGGACACAAGAGCTCTGAGAACCTTTGTGCGCTTTTAATGGACCACATGACCATTTCTGCTTTTCTCACAGGAATTGGATTTGACTACCCCAGGTAGCTGGAAAAAAATGCAGGCTTAGTCATATGAGAGCCATTACTCGGCCCATGAGAAATTTAAAATAGAAGAGAAATGGAGAATGGGTGAAAAGTAAGCTACTATTATTCTCTAGGACTCTTTCAAACTAGCATGAGATATTCTAAACTTGTGGTTCTGCAAAGGCTCTCCAATCTGATGAGCTATTTCACTTCTATTATCCGGCCTGTTAGTCACGACGATGCCGTTCTTCTCAAAATAATAACGCCTTCCTTAAATTATAATGTTCTGGAGCAAGGTCACCCTGACTAGCTGAGCATGTTTTTTTATTTATTTATTTTTTTTCGAACTAATCAGACTTCATTACCAACAAAATGATTACATGATTCTATAAATAGAAGTAGTGGAGCCATTTATTTGCTGTAGCATTTCTTTCTTTTTTTTCAGGAACACAAAACCATAACATGCTTCAAATTTAAGTAGACGAGGTTAGTTGATGCCATTCGAAAGGCTCAAATATTTTAATCCATTCTCTAAAATGATTTATTCAGTTGCCCGCAGAACTACCATACAGTTTTTGTAAAAAAAAAAAGTACAATGAGCTACAGCCAGTGGTGGAAAGAGAACTGAAAAATCATACTCAAGTAAAAGTACCATTACTTGCCTAAAAATGTAGTGCGAGTAAAAGTGTCTGTTGTAAATATTACTCAAAGTATGATTAAAGCCCTTTCAAAAGTATTCAAGAGTAGTTTAGTAGTATGTAGCAGTGTTAACAAAACATTCTGTATTGCACTTAGTTATTGTCCAACAGGCACACAATGTCGCAAGACGTTAATATTAGGTTAGATTTAGGTTGTGATGTCAGTTGACCAAAATTCAGTGTCTAGTCAACGTTATTTTGATGTCCAAAAACGACTTTTTCAAATGACTTTAATATTTGGTTTACTTTAGGTTGCGTTGGAAATTGACCAAAATCCAATGTGGAGCCAACATCTTAAACCAACGTCATATTGACGACAAATACAGACATTTATTCATCAGGTATGGCAACCAAAATCCAACGTCTGATAGACATTAGTGGTAACGTTGACACAACGTCAAGCTGTAACATCATTAGACGTTGTTATTTGGTTGATTTTAGGACACTGACATGAGCCTGACATTGAGTTCTGACATCAACATGATTTTCAATTTCAAACAAAATGCAACGTCACCATAACATTGTGGTGTAACGTCAATCTGACGTCATGCTGATGTCTTATGCCTGCTGGGTGTTTAAGACCATTGCAGTCATCATACAGCAAACATCCGTCATATTCTCATCAGTGACATCCATCTAAACAGTCTCTGGGTCAATGCGTTAAGATTGTGGAAATCTTGGACACTTTTAATGCTATCAAACAATTTGCTGAAATCATAAAATGCCCATGTCTTGAGGTAGTTCATTATGATGTGATATGAGGTGTACGTCGATTTGATTGGACAGAAATCACAGTACTGATTTTTCTAATCCCCATAGACAAGGAAAAATAAAGTAGTGACTGCAGGTTGAAGAAAAGTAGTGGAGTAAAGCACTGATGCAGCAATAAACATTTTTAAAACTACTTAGTAAATTACAATTTCTGAGCAAATTCATTAAGTAGGCTAAGTCAAATTAACTAAATGTTCCTTTAGAATGTGCAAGAATCCTATATTGGCTCAGTCCCACAAAAATACTTAATTATAAATTATCTTCAAGTGCCTCAAAATTTAAAGTGTCCATTGAGTGTGCACTTCAAAATCTCAGCAGAAGTAACAGGTAATCCTGGGTAATCCAGGTACTTCTTGCTTGTTGTTTTTTCAAATACAATGAATTTGGACATTGTACTCTGGTCATTTGCTATACACCTACTACTTTTAGACTACATCATATATGGAAAGCTACTTTGTTGTATGGAAGCATGGTTGGCTGATGAAGAAAAGCACAAATGATCAAATTTGGCAGCAAATTTTGATTTCATTTTAGTCTTTCGACAAAAAAAAGTTTAATTTTTGTCATACTTTAGTCTTCTGAATCATTTTAGTTTTTGGTCTAGTTTTAGTCTACTAAATCTTCTCTAGATTTATTTGACTAAAACATATTTGATATAATTTAAGTGTAATTGGATTTAAATATTGTATATAATTATTTATACAAAACATTCTAACTTAAACTTGAATATTCTAACTCTCATAAATTGACTGAAAGTTAATTCTAAATTAAAGAGTATTGAGGTATGAGTTAATTAAATACCTCATTACTTCAGCTTAAATGGAGTAAGTTAACAGTATTCAGATCGATTTTTTTAACTCAAATAATTTGTTGCAGTTGGTTTTATCAAATGGTATGAGATGACTCAACTCAACTAAAGTGTTTTACAGTACTCAGTTGGTTTGAGTTCACATCATTTATTGGGTTTTGCTGTGCTCAAATTGATTTGTTTATTGAAATGGAGTAAGTTTACAGTAATCATTATGATTAGCTTTTGAACTTAAATGATTTGTTGCAATTCGTTTCCTCAAACGGTTTGAGTTATCTTAACTTTTTGGGTTTTACAGTGTAATAAAAACATCTGAACATTTTTTAAAACATCTTGTGTTGAACAGAAAAAAACTCAACCAGTTTTCTGAAACATGAAGGATGAGTAAATGATGACAGAACTTTCATATTTGGGTGAACTATCCCACAGTAAAACCATTTAATGCTCGCCATCTGATTAAATCCACATCTTAGCCTACAGTAATTAAATTTTTTCTACATTTTAAAAGTATTACAGTCAGATAAACCTTTTGAAAATAAAGAGAAAAAAAGGGTCGAAAACGTCATGCGCCTATAAAAAACTGAAACTTACCAAATGTTTTTATTCTGGCACCTGTTCTTCCTGTGGCATTTAATTAAAAATAACGTAATTGCAACAGCGATGACAGCTGAAGCTAGGCAACTTGACATTTCCATTCAAGACAATTTAAAGCCATTCACAACATGAATTCAGCTAAAAGCCATGTAAAACCGTTCTCTCCGCTTTTACAGTCATTTCGACGACAGAATATGCTGAAATAATTTATGCACAGGAGCGACTGCTCCTCATGCAGACTGCTCGTTAAAAGTCTCGGTTTGCAGGCAGGCTTGTGGTGTGGTGTGGGTGAAGGAGAAAACAGGAGACTGTTACTCCTCAATCTGACAGATACCAGCTGCATCAGAACCCTCCTTCATCTAAAACTGTCTAATTAAACGCTCTAATTAATTTGCAGCAACATCCCCGTGCCTTTGTCGATTCCTGCAACTCTCGCAGATCCGCAGAGATAACGATGAAAGCAGACAAACTGTGTACAAGAAGATCTGCGGCCGGATTTTGCGCATCCCGCCCAGAACGCCAAAAAAATGGCGGCCTTTTTTTTTAGATTAAACGAGATGCTATAATGGCGTAATTGGCGTTCGGGTGGTACCGTGAAAATAGAACAGAAGAGCTTTAAATGTGGTGTTTATGGGGGAGTGGACATTTGCATGGCTACCTATGTTTATTAAAAGCTCTATATGCGCTTCTCTTGAGCCTCTATGAACACTTCACATTAGCTGTGCCGGAGAGAGCATCCCACACACACACACCCACACAGCCTGACACGCTGATATACTCTCTCTCTCTCTCTCTCTCTCTCTCTCTCTCTCTCTCTCTCATACACACACTCTCATTCTCTCTCTCGCACTCTCTCTCTCTCTCTCTCACACACACACACACACACACACACACACACACACACACACACACACACACACACATCTCTCTCGCATATAGACCAACACACACCCAGTTAGACTGAGATGAGCACATACAGTATAAACATCCTCCCACTCATATACTTTGCATTGTTCAGACTTATTGAGACAGAAATCGCTCTTGCTTACTCATTTCCCACTTTTCCTTACACTCTGGCAGTGTCATGTACAGTACATGATGTGCTCAAAGACACTTCGAGGATGCTGATGGTGCTGCCATGATACGTCCAAAAATACTGCACTGCTGTGATTTGTCCTAAAAATGCAAAACAAAAAGGATAGCATGGCATCAGTGTTTTGGTTTGAGGTCTGCTCGTCTTGTTTCTCTGCGTTCTTATAGCGATCCAACCTGAAAATAAAATTTCCGTTTGGCTATACCTCGCAAGAAAACGGCTTAGATGAAAGCAGATTACTGAATATTGGATAAGACCAGATATCAGGGAAGATCTTCCACGCAGAAAATCTGGAATTGGATTAAAATGCTGAAGCAAGTTCGGTGTATAAATAGATAATAAATAGACAGACAGAGATATAAAATACATAATTTAAAATGTGTCTCCTAACAAAAAAAGACACTCAATGATCATAATAAAACAGTTAAGTTATAACAGAAATAAATCAATAATAATAATATATTCTAAAATGTTCTTAAGAAACTAATTTTCAAAATCTGTGTT